TTTTGACGCACTAAACATACAGGGTTGCATTTTTAAAGCAGTAAATATGGATATCGAACACTCTGTTTAAGGGTCACACCCGGTTGGAAATTAAAAAAAAATTAAAAATATCGAATTTGTCATATTTCGATAGATTATACCTTTAAAATAACATATCAAATTTTTAAATCGATATCTCAAATAGTCTTTGAGTTACAGCCTTCTAAAGTGTATCCGTTCAAATTTGCTTGAGTGAGTACTCGGAGGCAATTGATTCGACCAAAAATTTAATTAGAAGCAAAAATTAACTTTAATTTTTTTTTAATGCCGCCATTTTGTCCCTTTTTGATTTTTTTTCGATTGCAGGTCATTGTAGGGGCAACAACTTGTAGTAGAGATTGCTTTTTAGGTTTCATCAACGGAGAAAGCCAAAATAAGTGCAGCAGTAGAGTACCTTTTATTTTAGCTTCGTCAGAGTTCGCGTGCAACTTTTCGGTTTGGATTTTGCTTTTATAACTTTTCCACATTTTCATTAATTTTTAAACTTATTGGTTTAATTGTAGTATTATTCGACTTTTCAAAAACATTTTTTGCCATTTCTTTTCAAACATCATGTCGTCATCATTTTCTGTTGAATTATAGCAAGGTACATCACTTCGACTTTCGGTGGAAGCTAGAAAACGCATGCGTATAAAAAACACAGAAATTAGGAATTAGTAAATTAGTTTAATCTTAACTCTCACTCCATACTTGTGACAGAAAAGTTAATGAAAACTCCATATTATGCCGGTCTAAACAAGTGAAGGTCGCTACTCTCAACAAAATTATACCGAACCTTCTTAGTCTGTTGTTTTTTGTTTTTTGTAGGATCTACAATACTTTTATAAGCGATACCCATTAGTTTATGATAATTGATATAAAAGGGCACAAGTTTTGGCATCATTTCATCGTTCTTAAAGAACTCGCATTTATTTTCTATATCATATTTATCTTAAACATATTTCTGTTAATTTACAATGGGAAAAAGTCTCATTCGTCCATCTAACGACTACGCAAATATGTTCCAAGGGTTTTGTCAAATGTTTTCGCTATATAAATCCGTTATATGAACTATGAATCTGTGCGGAGCTTACTGTTTGCTGCTCTAATCAATATTGAATCACATCGGCTACTTGTCCTTATTGATTCCAAGTAAAATATCAAGGCATCTGTAAAAAGTTAACCTCATACAACAATTTTATAGAATTACTCGTTCAAAAGTAACAAATCGGTATACAATTGTCTACTTAGTCAGTTTAGCCCTTCTACTGTGTAATATTTGAATTTTCTGCCAATTTTAAGACTTATGTATGTATGTATGTATGCAATAATAAACAAAAATTGTGTTTAGTTGCGGTTTCCTGATTTGTTTTTGGTGATTTTTGCCTCTTCGATTCCCAATCAATCGCAAAAGTCATTCGTGCGCATTGTGTGGCATGTGTAAAGCAATTTTTGCACTTTCGCACATCCATACATACATACATCATGTGGTACAAGCGAAAAGAGCCTCGTGTCTAGTGAATAATTTTTCGTTTGTTAATCGCTGTCGTTTGCATGTTGCATGTTACGCCAATTGCGGCAAACAACATTGAACTTCTTGTTAAAGTTGGTTTTGTAATTTAGTTGAGTTTGATTTTAAGCTTTCGATTTTCAAGTTGATAGTTGTGTATGCATATACAGGTTGGTTGAAAAGTTGGTTGGTCTCAACAAGAAATAGCACTACTAACTCTAATTTTTTTTCTCAAGTTGGTACATCTGTCGTGCGAACACATGCAAAGTTACAAGTCATTCTGTCAATTAATTCTTTGTTTACAAGCTATATGAAGTTGACGTGTCAGAGTATTTTTATATTATGGAAAAAGTTGTATATCGCGCAGTGATTAGATTCTTTGTTGTGAAAGGTTTAAAACCAAAGAAAATTTATGAACAATTGTTAGAAGGGTATAAGAAGTCCTCACCTTCAAAACGCACCGTTGAATTTTGGGCTGGCGAATTTAAACGTGGTCGTACTAGACTTGAAGACGATTCACGCGAAGGCCGACCAAAAACCGCAATCACAGCAGAAATCAGTGAGCAAGTTCATAATATTGTTAGTGAAGATCCAAGTTTGACTAAGCGTGAAATTGCAAATGCCATAGTCATCTCAGACGAAAGAGTACTTCATATTTTACATGGAGAATTACATATGAAAAAGCTGTTTGGAAAATTAGTTCCGCACAAGTTAACAATTCAACAAAAACTGAATCGAAAACACATTCCTCAGCATAATTTGGCGCGTTTTGAGCAGAATAAAATCGATGTTTTGCATCGTTTTATAGCTATGCATGAGACTTGGATCTACCACCATGATACTAAATTGAAATAAGAACAGTAACAGGGGACTAAAGCTGGTTGTTCAGTTCCCAAGCAGGTGAAGTTGCAAAGATCAGCAAAGAAGGTTATGACATCAGTTTTTTGGAATGATAAAGGAATTTTGTTGATTGATTATCTGCAGAAAAGTAAAGCAATTAACTCTGAATATTACTGCAGCCTCTTTTATCAAGACAGTGCACCTGCGAACAAAGGTGTTTTAACAATGACAAAATTCAACGAATTGCTTGAGCATCCACCGATATTAGCAGATTTGACTCTCAATGACTACTACCTCTTCAGAAACCTGACACAATTCCTTTGTGGAAAGCGTTTTTCGTCGAATGAAGAAGCTATTACAGCCGTAGACAAGTATATTGCAGAGCTCCCGTAAGTCATTATAGGGATGGCATAAAACTATTGGAGGATCATGGGAAGAAGTGTATTGAAGTTAAGGGAGATTATATTGAATAAAAAAATATATTTCGTACCAAAAACAATATTTTTTCATTTCGAGCGCAGACACTTTTCAATCAACCTGTATATATGCTTACTTTGTTGTCAATTGCTAAGGCATTTGGGATTTCGGGATCAGGCTTTAAATTCCAATATTTTTCGTGTTTTTATTAATGCTTTCAAAAACACTATGCGACAAAATCGATTTTTTCCCGAACAATTTCTTGAAATGGTTCGGTCACAGAAAATTCTACCCGAAAAATTCATGATATTGTAGTTGGACCATCTTGCAGGAACTAAACAGCTTTTAAATAATTGTTATTAAAGTGATGAATCTTGGCTTTTCGGGACGTGGTTGTTTTTGTAGGAGTAGAAAGTATTTCGCAAATACTTTTGAGGAAAGCTGTTCAGCTGACAGTGCTTGGCCAGTTAAAAATCCGGGTCCGACCTGGTTACATTAGCACGACTATTATTTGACTAATTTTTCGGGATTTGTTTCCAACTCGGGAAGCACGACCATTATTTAACGGATTTTTCGGGATTTGTCTCCAACTCGGGTATTAGTTGCACTAGCGCTTGAGCAAAGAAATGTTACGTTAAAGCTCGACTTACTGTGGGTGCGTTCACGTTCTAGACTCCATTTGGGTAGCTGCAAATTTGCTGTTCAAATTCAAGGTCATTCAATGCTTGCTATACTACATTTATATTGTTTTATGTGTTCCAATTGACGAACATGACCACTGCGTGCGTTGTTGTGTGTCATGCCATGCCAATTAGACTACCTATAGTAATGTGCGGGCAAAGAGTCAATCGGCTTAAAGTATTTGTTTGTTATGCTGCGGCATATTGAATTAAATGCTTGTGTATTCATTCTAAATTTATGCTGTTCAATTTGCGTCGTGTGTGTTTTGTATGCGCGTTTTTTGTTCCTCGCTCAGATTAAACTACAATTGTTTGATCTTTTTAACCTTTTAGTAATTTGTGGTTTTTTAAATCAATGTGGGGTTAATAGAAAGTTAAGAAAAATAAAAAAAACATTCAATTAGACATCACGCAGTTATAATACCCTACATAGGGTACATACTTCTTATAGTATAGAAGGGTAGGAAAAAGTTTTTATCTTAATTTTGATCGGTCAGTTTGTGTGGCAGTTATATACTACAGTGGTTAGATCTGAATAATTTTTTAGAATATTGTAGCGTTGTCTTGGAAAACAATCTTTGCCAAATTTCGTGAAGATAGTTTGTTAAATAAAAAAGTTTTGCGTACAAGGATTTAATTTTGATGGTTTTTGTTTGTAGGGCAGCTATATGATATAGTAGTCCGATCTAAAGAATATCTTCAAACATTCTAGCGTTGTCTTAGACAGTAATCTCTGTCAAATTTCGTGAAGCAATCTTGTCAAATAAAAAAGTTTACCATACTCAGACTTGATTTTGATCGTTTAGTTTGTAGGGCAGCTACTATAGCATATAAGTAGTCAAATCTGAACAACTCGTTCGAAGATTGTAGCATTGTCTTGGAAAATAATCTGAGCCAAATTTCTGTTTGTTAAATAAAAGAGTTTTCCGTACACGGACTTGATTTTGATCGATCGGTTTGTATGGAAGCTATAAGCTATATGTTGTCCGATCTCAAAAATTTGTTTGAAGATTGTAGCGCTGCTTTGGGCAATAATATATTTTGTGCACTTATCTTGTCAAATAAAAAAGTTTTCCATACAATGAATTGATTTTTAACGATCACTTTGTATGGCAGCTATATCACATATTGTTCCAAAATCGGCGATTCCAAAAAATAAACAGCTTTTTGTGAAGAAAAGGCCGTGAGCTAAATTTCAGATCGATACATAAATCGACTCAGCTCATTACGCCGACCAGTATATACTTTATACAATCTACGACGTTTCTGCTGGATGTTACGAACTTCGTGGCAAACTTAATATATATATATATACCCTGTTCCGGGTTTTGAAAAAATTTCGTCAAAAAGGTTAGTTTCATTAAGCGCACTACCACATATGACTGTGCTATAATTATGGCTATAACTACAATTAAATAATTTTATAGCATTTTATCGTGTTATTTTATTATTTATATTATTTTGTTATAAAAACTATTTTAATAAATTTATAAGTTATGATTAAAATTATGTTTATTTCTTTGAACTCTCTGCAGATCGTTTGTATTTTGTCACATTCAAGAAGAACATCAAACCACAAAGCACACCCAACACACACTACTTCAGCATAGATGAAGAATATATTTACGAGAATTTTTACAATGATTTTGGACCACTCAATATTTGCATGCTATATAGATACTGCCAAAAATTAAATTCCAAATTAACCGCAAAATGTCATGCCAACAAGAAAATCATACACTACACAACGCTCAATGCGGCGAAGCGTCTAAATGCCGCCTATTTGATTGGCTCATACTCGGTAAGTGTCAAGCAAGCATTATTTGCTATATAACTACTATATACTTATATAGGTACTGCAGTATTAGCGTATAATTATTTTTCACTTGCAGATCATCTACCTAAACAAATTACCGATGGATGCCTATCGGCCGCTAGTCGCTGGCGATATACCCGCCTACACACGTTTCTGTGATGCCTCTTTTGGGCCAAGCGGTTATAAAATTTCTCTAATTGATTGTTTGAATGCTGTTTACAAATCGCTAAAAGCTGGCTTCTTCAGCTTCGACGATTTCGATGCGGAGGAATATGAATATTTCGAACGTGTAGAGAATGGCGATTTCAATTGGATTGTGCCGCAAAAGTTTATTGCCTTTTGTGGGCCACATCAGAAGTCGAAAACACTGCCGAACGGTTATCCATGTCATTCGCCCGAACGTTATTTTGAATATTTCCATGAGAACAATGTAACCACTGTGATACGTTTGAATGCGAAGGTTTATCATGCGTCAAGCTTCGAAAATGCCGGATTCGATCATAAGGATCTGTTCTTCATCGATGGCAGTACGCCGAGTGATTTGATATTGAAGAAATTCCTCTCCATATGCGAGAATACAAAGGGTGCTATAGCTGTGCATTGCAAAGGTTAGTGTCGAAATTAGGAAAACAATATTTCCAAAAAGTAAAATTAGCTCCTAAAAAAGTAGGAACGCTAAATGTCGAAATTAGTTAGAAAAAGTAATATTTGCCCCTAAAAAGTAAGAAAATTTGAAACTTCGGCCGCCTTTCCATTACTTTGGCGCTTTGGTCGCCATGTCCATGCCCCCTTTATGTTGTTGCAACAACAACCATTTATTGAAGAAATTACTTGATCAAATTACAATTTGTACTCTTCTAACTTCATCCGTTTTAAAACCGATATATATTATATTATATATTCGCTAGGCGATAACCTATAAGCTATTTAAAGGCTGCCTAAATTTTCTGTATTTCCAGATATCTGAACACAGTCATAAACTTAAATGTAGATATATTTAATATGATTTAAATTTTCAGCTGGTCTTGGTCGCACTGGCAGCCTTATCGGCGCTTACATCATGAAGCATTATAACTTTACAGCGCTGGAAGCTATAGCCTGGTTACGACTGTGTCGGCCAGGCTCAGTTATTGGCCATCAACAACAATGGATGGAAGAGTAAATATCAAATATTTATATATTGTCCATATTTCATTAATCTTACTACACTGTATTTCCCTTCCAAAGCAAACAAGCATGGCTCTGGGCCGAGGGTGAGCGCATACGCAAACGTTCCGGTTCGCAGTGTCCCATACACAAGTATGGCATTTACAGCATTGCACTGAAACAGGTCTTATCAACCGGTGGTGTACCGCAATTGACACAAACCAAAGAAAATTGCGTCAAAGGTATATCACAAAAGGTGGATACAATGCATCTGCACGATAGCGAAGAGATATCCACTAATGGCAATGTCAAAACGGGTGTAACAACGCGTGCACGTTCACCAATTACCGCCAACACCGTTGCGAACAATACAACAACGACTATTCCAACGGGCACGACGCATAATCGCCGCTCTAAGGATAAAGCTAAGGCCGATAGTCGCAATGCGAATGTGAATAGTGTCAGTGATGAAGATACCACTATCACTGAGGAGAATGGCGATGATGAAGACACCACAGATAATTCCAATGCGACTTATATAGCATCAACCAGGCGACGCAAGTCACCAACAATACATGTTGGCACGACACTGGCGTCGGCGGCGGCGTTGAATTCGCTGGTAGACAGTGTAAAACCGCCAACGCCACCAGTACGACGCACACCACCCATCGCTGTAAGTGAAGCCGTTACGCGTGTGTCACCCGCTGGCGTTGCGGAGCCGCTTTATGCCGAAAAGAAGCTGAAGAAACCCTGCATTGGTTTGGAGGCAGCGCAGCGTCCGACAATCGCCTCGACGGTAAAAATGACACAGGCTGCAATTGATAAGCAAAACTCACAGACGCAAGGCGATAAATTAAATCAAATCAAAGCATTGCGTCGTCAGCATCAGCAACAAACACACCAGCCAACAACAGTGCAACAGCTGTCACAACAGGCGGCACCATCGATATTACAACAACAACAGCAGTTGACAACGCAGCATAATTCGCGTGGCAACAACACCAACGCTAATGCATAGTAAGTTAAATTTTTATAGAATTCCATAATGGAGACGACGCTTTTTGAAATCGTATTATGAAAGCAAGAAAAAACATAAACTTCGGCTGCATCGAAGTTATAATACCCCTGACAGGGTATATAAACGGGTATAAAAGGACCTTTATCTTGATTTTGATCGGTCAGTTTGTTTGGCAGCTATATGTTGTTCCGATCTGAAAAATATTTTAACCGATTGTAGCGTTGTCTTGGAAAATAATCTGAGCCAAATTTCTTGAAGATATCTTGCCAAATAAAAAAATTTACCATAGAAGGACTTGATTTCACACGTTCAGTTTGAATTGCAGCTGTATGTTTTTAGTTGTCCGATTTCAAAATTTTGTATGGCGATTGTAGTGGTGCCTCGGGCATTAATATATCTCAAATTTTGTGAAGATAATTTGTCAAATAAAGAAGTATTCCATACAAGCAGGTGATATTAATAGATCAGTTTGTATGGCTTTTAGTGGTCCGATTTCGGCGGTTTCGACTTTTTCGGTTTCAATTTTTGGGGAGAAAAAGACGTGTGCAAAATTTCAGATCCATATCTCAAACACTGAGGAGCTAATTCGCGTATAGACGGAAAAAAGCTGGACATGATAGATGGATATATATATATAATTTATAGGGTCTCTAACGTTTCCTTCTAGGTGTAACAAACTTTGTGAAACTTAATACAAAAACACTGTTGGGTATAAAAAGTATAAAAAAGGAATACTGTTTTCTAGCGTTAAAAGATTAGAGCTTTTTCTAAAATTCCTAATCTATATTATATGATCCACATAATAACATATTACTTCCCTCTACAACAGCTCCGTTGATTTGGAACGGCATATGCGCGCTCGTTCACAACCCTTCCGCAACAATATTGCCAACATCATGCCGAGTGCACATGGAAATTCCAGCCCGTCAGACATGGCGCTGCCGCATGCATTGCGACAGGCAGATTGTCAAAGTATGGCCGCTGCAACGGCAGCAGCAGCGTCGGCAGCAGCTACAGCGGCAGCGGTGGCACATGAGGCAATGCTGGCAGCGACGGCGGCGCTTAACAACAAAAATCTTTACAATTGTAATAATCGTTTTGTTTTTAACACACATTACACCAACACAAACACCAACAATCACAAGCACAATAATAACACTAACCATAGCCATTATAACACACGCACTAATAATAACCTGATTAACCTTTTAACAACAGCAACACACACGACAACGGTAACAACCGGAACTGGTGCACCGGGCACACGTGGTGAGGGTGGCACTGCTGTATCGACCACAACGGCAACGTCGGCAGCTGCGGCAACGACACTACCCGGTGGCGGTGGCAGCGTGACGACGCGTGCGCGCAGTCTGGCCATTTATAGCAAGAGGTAAGTGCATGTATAAAGTGCCGTTACAAATTATGTGCAACAACAATAAACAAACCAACAAACAACGCTAACCAAACAGTCACCAAACAAAACAAACCAAAATTACTGAAAACAAAATAAAATATGATAATAATTTGAAAATCATTAGAATAACTGTAAATGAAAGCGGCAATGACGCGTACAAATCAAAACATGTTGTTGCCTTACAAATCACTACTTGCCAACACAAAGCACCACAATAACGCACCGCCTCCCTGTTAATATCCACGGGCCAATAACTTAAAATTCCAATTGTTCTGCGTATGTGCGCTTTTGCCCGCCTTGTTGTTGTATGTAACGCTCATTCGACATTGTTTTGTAATGTAAATACTTCTTTTTTTATTAATGCTTTCTATAACAAAAAAAAATAAATCTAATTGTATAAATTGATTAATCTTCTCGCGTGTTTAAAGCACAACTGCATGAGCCAGTGTTTTTAGTTTTTTTTTTAATGTACGAAGTTTTTAAATATTTGTACAAGCTAAAGTGTTTAATATATATTTTTTTGGTTTTTTATGGTAAAAAATTTAATAGCACGCTTTTAAAGAGATATTAAAGAAATATTGTAAATATAAAAAAATAAAGTCAATTCTTACAAAATTATATGCATATTTTGAAAATTTTAAATTTTCCGTTTAAAACACTGTCACTCACAAAAAATAGCACACTGTTTATTTTTTTTATATAACAATATTTTTTTTATTTTTATATACAAAAAAAAAATGAAAAAATTTTAAATACAATATATTTTTATTTTATATATATAAAAAAAAAATTTTTAAATGAAATATTTAAAAAAAAAATTTTTTAATGAAATATTTTTTTATTTTTTATATACAAAAAAATTTTAAATTAAATATTTTTTTATTTTTTATATACAAAAAATTTTAAAAATTTAAATACTGTTTTCATTGTTTATCGCCTAAGAAATACTTTTTATAATATTCAAATTTTATATCTTGTGCCTTTGATATACAAAACAATGTGTCGATATTGTAATAAATGTATTTGTGTTTTCGTAGCGTAACTGTGCAATCATATTTCCGATTTTTGTTCTTACCAAAAGTAGTTTTTTTTTTTAATTTTAATAAAATACTTAATAGTTATATGCAGTGCATTTTCCAAGTTTATACTACATAATTATATTTAAAATAACATATTAATATTAGGTGAAATACAATTATTGATAAAAAGAAAACACTCCACTATAGTCACCCTCCAATACTAATAAGGCAGTCTAAAAACAAGCCAAGCTACATAAGTTACAATATTTAATTAAATATTCCATAGTAATAAATAATAAGCTGATTTTTTACAAATATAAATGCATACTGTATATAAATAAATGCATCCTTTATAAGCTGTACATATGTTACTAAATTTTTTTTTTTACAATTTTTTATTATATATAATTTTTTTTTTAATTTTTTATTATATATAATTTTTTTTTTGTTATAAATATGCTTCACTTTTTTTAAGTTGTATTTTTAAAGTCAGTCATACGCAAAACGCTGTAGAAAATCAATTTGTGACAAAACATTTTTCGCTTGCACTTGGCAACGCTGTTCTAAACGTTTATCTAATTGCAATTTGCAATCTGCTGGCAACTCTAACTATTATAATATATAATTTATATACTGCAAAATACTTTTTATAAGTATTATAATATACGACCACGCTTAAATTTTTTTTTAATAATTCGACTAATTTGAAAATTCCATAACGGTACACATTTGCATAAAAATAATAATATAAATATCAAAAATAATATATACGAGTTTATTTTCTTTAGTCAATCCTTTAAAAAAAATTTGAATTTTTAAAACCAAATATTTATTAAATAATAAGATTTTTCCAAAAAAAAATTTAATTCAGAACATAAACGCTATACCAAAACCGACCAAATACCTACATATGTATATCCACAACCATAACAATCACTAATATATATGTTATAACCGCAGTCTATATACCATAGTTTCTTCATTATCGCGTTTATATCTTAATTTTTAAGCCTATTACGTATTCTAACGGCCGGTTTAATTTTTAAGAATAATCGAGCAATGCCACCGTGCTGAATTCAAGGCCGAATTGAACAAGCAAAAATATTATGCAATCAAGAGTATGCAAAATGCAAATAATAATCACAAGAGAGCACGCTCCAATGAAAGCAAGTTAAGTATGCCAATAACGGTAATTGAGAAAATTAGTAATAACAAGAATTTGTCTAATCGTGAAAACCGTTCATCAGGCAATTTAGGACAACAAATTGGCATTACAAGAATGTGGCTAAAGAAAAAATGGTTACAAAGAGAATTTAGCAATATGAAAAATATTTACTTTTTTCGATAGCAACAAAAAATATCGCTTATAATAATATGTATGTATATCAAATAATAATTTCCGGATGAGCCCAGAAAAATTTTTGGAGTTTTATTTGTATACAAAATTTTATATTATTTATTTTAATTAAATAAATGGAGGTTTTTTAAAGTAAAAAAAAAGAAAATTATGGCATGTTTCTGGTTCACGTTGTGTAGTTATTATTATTATTTTTTTTAATTTCATCTAAAATGATTTAAATACAATTTTGATTTTTTTTTAATAAAGAAAATATTTAATATATATTTAAAAAATATGGAAAATTCCAAAAAAAATATCTATTAATAATCGCCCACTCTATCACTTATTATGGCGCGACTCGTCTAAAACAATTTCCAACAAATTTGACACTTAAAAAAAAAACGAAAAAATCGCTTATGCTTCCAATTAGCTATAAACAAATATTAAGCTTCTAAGCTATAGGAGTAAGTTATTGTTTCGAAAAAATTTCATTACCGTTCTACTGCTTCAATTTATCTCTAATCTTCCTGATTTTCTGCAGCTGGTATACGATTTTTTTGTTTTCAAAATATTTACTTATCATTAATTATAGTCAATAATTTATATACAGTCATATTTATAATGCCTTATGTTATTGCCAGGTTTTCTGTTGATTTCAGAAATATACTTAAATTTTACTTCAAAAACTATAGTTTTTGGTGAAATATTGTATGCAGCTAAGCATTAGCTTTAAAAATTAATAAAATTAATATTTACAATATTTTACAATTACATAAGCGTTATTTGCATGGAATATTAATACTTTTATAAAATCAAATAAAAACCAATTATATATTATTAATAAACACCAAATCTATTTACCGCAACCAAATTATGAATTTGTTTTTTTTTTTGTGCATACAAACATTTTCGGCATTACATACTTTTTGGCAATCGTTTTTTAAACGCCTTTGCATTTGAGTTTGTATGGCATCGCTGTTTTCTCTAACTTTGTTTTGTAAATAAATCCTGTATTACCCTCTTTGAAGCATTTTTGGTACGTTTTTGTTTTTTTTGTATTCAACATTTGTACATATGTATGTACATATGGCTATTTCGTCTGCGTGCATTTGATTTTTATTTGAACGTTCTTTTGTGTAAGTAGTTTGTGCTCTTTCTGCTAGTCTTTTCTTGTTCCTTTCCTACCCACCAAGCTCCCGTCCTTTTCCCCGCGGCTTTGGCATTTCAGCAATGAGGCAACAACTCATTGAATTTTTTCTATTTAGGGCTCTTTATTTTTATGCATCTAAATATATGAAACAGTTTTGCATTTTTGTTTATAAAATGTAAAAAAAATAATAAATAAAGACAATATTTTAAAATCAATAAAATATAAAATATTTAGGTTAAATATAAAATACTGGATTCAAAATCTACAGTATTAAAGGTTAGCGAAATCAACCAAAAACTTGTTTTTCAAATCAAAAATCTTTTGAAGTAATACATAAAAAAAATTTTGGAAAAAAATTATAAAAAAAAAATTAATAGTTTTATAGTTTACTATGGCTATACACATATTAAAAATAATAAGTATTATGTTTATTTTTATACTACTGCAAAAATTGAAAGAAAGGCTTTAAAAAGTTAAAGGGGGCATTCTAGTCTAAAGGCATGAATTTCAGTTAATTTTTGAAGTGTTGTAAAAAAAGACAATTAATATTTTAATTATTCACTATCTTATTATGGTAGTTATTTATTAACAAACAAGAATACAGAAAGAGACCAAAAAATAAAAAAAATTTCAAAAATTACCAGCACATGAAGGGGAAGGTGTCAAAAAATGTATACGTGACCATATACAAAAAACAAATTATTAATCTAGAACAATGTCGCAATGTCTGGTTCCACGGAAAAGTCGGAAAAAGTTTTACACGAAATGGCGACTGCCTGAATTGTTGTGCCACTTTTTTTTAAGTATTTCGAATTTTTATAAAATAGTAAAAATTTAAATTGATAATACCAGACATAAATAAGTCTATAAAGAGGACTCTCTAAAAATTTCAGCTAAATCGGTGCAATAGAACCTGAGAAATCGTGGGTAACGTTTTGAAAAAGACCGTTTCAAAAACAAAGCGTTTCGCGTAAGGTTTTTTGTTCGGTTAAATTCGGCCAAAAACAGTTTGTATGCCTATACCAAGATACCTATATCTCAGAAAATAATTTGAATTTTAAAAAATCCTCTATACATAGACATATTCTGTCGTAGTTAAAATTTGAAAACATAAATAAAATAAATTTTTTTTATTTCTAGACTAGAATGTCGCCTTAATAACAATATGAAAATTTGCCTACATTTAGGCGCATATTAATTACCTCTTATTTACAACATACACAGACCTAGGGAAAATTGGGTTTAATTGGTAAAAATTTAATTTCTAATTTTTTTAATTGAATTAAAGGTTGTTATAAAATATAATCAAAAATATTTTCTATTTTTAACATTTAAAATAAAAAAAAAATGGAAATAATATATATAAAAAAATCTAAAAAAAAAGTATTCAAGAGAAAATATGCTAAAATAAATTATGAGAAAAAAAGACGCTTTAAAAAGTTGAATAAAAATAAAAAAATTGCCTACAATTAGGCGCAAATTAATTAGCGTTTTTTACCATATGTAAAAGAGTTTAAAATTGCAACACTGTTTCAAAACTAGACTAGTAGAAAACCAGCGTATATGAAAGATGAATTAATTCAAAAATATTCTTCTACTTTTTCTCTCTCTTTTACTTCCTCTGCGCAAACTACCACAATACCTGTGCATATATATATAACTATAAACATTCCACGGTATTTCTCGGGTTGCTTTAAACACACTTGTTCCACTACTAATTGAAATCGCACCGATGAAACAAATTTATCCAACCCCTTAACCGAAAAAAACGTTACAACAAACCAATTTGTAATAATATACAGAATGGGTTTCATGCACTTGCGCAAAGCGGAAACACAACAACAACAGCAACAGCTGAGCAATAACCACAGCAACAGCGCAATTGGAAATGTGGCAACAAACAACAACACAACGGCGACAACAAGCAGCGGCTGTACGCTGCCGCATCATTATCAGCACCACCACCATCATCACGATGTCACCGCGCCTACGCTGAGTAGTCTCAATAAACAAACGAAAACGTACAATAACACTTTGATTAGTTCAACATCGAATGTCTCGACAGCCGGCATGAATGAGAGTAAAATTCCAGTGGTGCGCGCAAACGCGGCGCTTATTGATATGAGCGGCGTGCCGTCGACAACATCAGCTAGCAGTAGCGGCACTGGTATAGGATCGTGCGCTACAATACCACCTACGCGCGGCGCCGCATCACGCGCGCCACATCATCACATGACATTGCGTGGGCGCTCGCGTATACGCTATAATCGCGCAGGCGCTGCTGCGGTTGGGGCGGCTGTAGAGCCGCCTTGCACAACTGTAACAGCGCGTTACTACCGCGACGCGTCCGCCATACCGACAATTTCGAGCACAACGACTACTGCCGCTTCTTCGCCATTAGACGCTGGCGGCGGCGGTGGCGGTGGTGGCACTGGTTCTAGTGGTGGTGGTGTCGGTGGCGCGCGTTCCGTTTCGGCAACGCTTGATCTAAATTCGAATCCATTACAAAGCGGCGATGCCAGCGGCATCACTGCTTTTGCGCATAGTAAGGTGACACAGTCGACTTCACTACCAAAATCGCATATTTATTATCAGCGACATCATCACCATCATAGTTATGGCAGTAATGCCAATAAGAATAATATCAACTATAATAATAATAATAATAATAATAATAATAGCAACAACAACAATAATAATAACAATATTAATGTACAATTAAATGAAAATTTGCGTTCCACACCGCCTCTAGATACAAACCGGCTGAGTAGCAACAACAATTGCGGCGCTGGCAGCGGACGCGGCAGTTACGATGCGATCAACACATCGGCAGCCGTTACCTCAACAACAACAGCTGCGCGCGCCTCACCCACTGGCATCCCAACGGGCATCACGAAACGCAACAAACGTTCGCTAAGCAGCACGCGCCTCGAAAAGGACAAATGCGATGAGTATAATACGAAGCTGCTGCGCAAAACAGCTGGCAATAACAATGCGACAATGCAGACTAACAGCAACGCATGCGCAAGTGCGAGCAATAATGCTAACAACAACAACAACAACAGCCAACTAAGTGGTTGCGCCGGCGGAGCAAGTGTTGGTGCTGGCGCTGAGTTAATTGGTGGTGGCAGCAATCGAGCGCTGCCACATGTTGGCGGCTATCGCACGCGCCATCACTTAACAAATGCCGCGGCGGCGCCAACGACGACCAACAACACTATGCTCGAGTCATCGACAGCCTCATCCGCATCGTCGACTTCCACATCGGGCATACCGACACCGACGGCATCCAACACTGCGCATGGTTTGTATTTGCAGCGCGGCAGTGGCGCACGCTATGCGGCGGCGGCGGTGCTAGCTGTCGAGCGCGAGCGCGAAACAAAACTGAAGCTGCGCAAGAAAATCAGTTACTGAGTGCGGCGAAGGTGATTTTAGTTATTACGTCATTATTTAGCATATTTAATTTAAAAAAAAAAAACTAATTATGTATATAAAAATTGTAATCGTATGTAAACTTATGCATACATATGCATATATAGTGAAAGTAAATGCATGCAACTACATACTTATGTGTGTGTAAGTGCAATTTCAAGCCAAGTGGCAGGTACAATGATTTGTTTACGCTGAGAAAGCTAAGTTCATATTGTGTAAACGCATTCTATGTTAAATAATTTTTTTAAACACTTTTATGTTAACACACATAACTGCATTACTTCGACATGCATACATATGCGTTTTTGTAAATTATTTAGCACGAGATCTCTGTAACTCACAACTGTTTATGTGAGTTAACAGTTGATGCGCCGAAATATAATAGTAGCATGTAGCTGGTCTGCAAAAGCTGCAAAAAATTTCATTCTCTCGAACTAGCTCTATCGCGCTCTATCACACACACGCTGTAGTGTTGTGCCGTCACTTTAACAATTGGCACATAATTTGGCGATTGTTATTGTTTCTTTTGAAAGAAATTAATGCACTCAAAGGAAGAGTAAATGAGAATTTTCTTAATACAATTAAAAAATTTGCAATATTTTATTAAATAAATTTTACTCATTTTCTTATGCATAGATTTTATTAAAAAATATTATTATTAAGTATCGTAATTATGCAATCAAAATTTTTATTTAGATATAAAAGCATGAAATTTTAGTAATTGCTGGCGAGAGCCAATTAAGATATGTAGTTTTTTTTGTTTGAATTTGCTTAAGGGAGTATTCTAGTATACAGACAGGCGTTTTAGTTAATTTTTGAAGTGTCGTAAAAAAGCCAAATATTATTTTAGCTATCCATTTTTCTATTAGTTATTTAATAACATTGCGAGAATACAGGAAAAAAAAACAAAAAATAAAAAAGGTTAGAAATTAAAAAAAATTAGCAGCTGATAAAGTGGGGGTCTCAAAAAATTGGCACGTGGCCATACCCACGGTTTCTACGCTCCTGGCAATCTTAAACCAAAAAATAATAATATTAATTTAGCATAATATCTCAATGTCTCGAAGTACGGAAAAGTTGAAAAGAATATTTTTCACGAAATGGCGACTACCATAACATAAAACATCTTTTGTACCACTTTTTTTTGACAGTTTCGAATTTTTTGAAAATAGTAAAAATTGAAATTTATCAATATGGATAGTTCCAGACATAGACAAGTCCATAAAGAAGACTCTCTAAACAGTTTAGGTAAATCGGTGCAGCAGAAAGTGAGAAATCGTGGTTATCGTTTTGAAAAAAACAGTTTCGTGAAAAACGCGTTTAAATTGTCAGTTCCGGCCGAACCAGTATAGATGCCAGGTCAGCAAAATACTTATGTATATATTCTAAAATAATTTGAATTTTGAAAAATTCTCTTGCAGAGATATTCTTGCATAGTTAAACTTTGAAAATATTATATAAATAACATTTCTAGAATATGCCCTTAAAATATAAATTTCGTTTGTTGTACAAAATTATTTTTATTTTAATTAAATACAATTGTGTGGCAACTAGTTTTTTTTTTATTAAGTATACATTTTTTATCAAGTTATAATTTTTTTGATTAAGGGGTAAACTTTTTCTGCATTTTACAAAAATGCACTAAGTTTGGTATAAAATTATCAAAATATTCTACAGTAACGTTATTTAATTACTTAGATTTTACAGTCAATAATTTTTTGTTGCCTTATGATTAATACACAAATTATACAGAATTTAAGCTAACCTCAATTGTTTTTAACTGCTGAGCGCAAACAATAATGCAGTAGGTTGCCAATTGGGCATTGATGTAAATATTGTTTATATATATATATATTGTTTATTGTTTATATAAGTATTATTTAATTATTATTTGCAAGAATGACTACAAAATTTATACAGATAGCATTTTTGGAATCCTAAAAAACTTCGGCAACAGGCACTTTTTTCGAAATTCAGTTTAAAATCGTATATTTTGTAGTATATTTATTATTTATAAGAATGTAATTTATGTAAATTGCGTATCAATTTTATTTTGATTTAAAAAAATTAAATTTTTAATATCTTTGACTGACTAAAAATCGAGTTCACAATTTTAAAACATCACATCATGAGTGTAATGAATATTTTTCGTATTATAAATCAAAGGTAATTTAATTTAATTGAATTACGCAAATTAAGAAATGCAAATAATTGTTGATATATACATTGAATAATGTGCGGTTATATTTTTCTGAATTTTTTCAAATTGTTAATAGAGATTGTTATTGGTTTATGAAACTGAAATCATTATAAAATGCAGTATTTACTCAATTTACTGTTATTGTCGTTTTATATGTTTGATACATGTACATACATACATATATATTTCATTTTCTAATGTTACATAAAATAATAAATTTTCAATACACACCTCACTCACATACCAGAATTAATTATATGCTGGTTGCGAATTTTTTAATATTAAAAATTAGATTTTCAATTTTGAATTCCAATTTTGGTATTGAAAATGATGGCTCTGCACGCGCTCTAGTTCAACATTGTAGAATGCGCCGTACGCAAGCGTGAAAAGATATAAATTCAAAACAATTTTTTTTTCGTTTTTAATTATACAGACATAAATTCATTTTGTTTTTTTTTTGTTAAACCGGTATTTGGAATTAGAAATTTTTAAACTGGTTTTAATGGATATTTTTTTATGTATAGCCAAAAATATTGTTTTATATAATACTATTTACAACAGCGCTTGTTTAAAAATTTACTAAATTTGGTAAAAAAATTAGGTTTGAAAAAATTTGTAAAAAAAATATTGTATCTAATTCTTATCAAATTATTTTGAATATACGGTCATTATTCATAAAAAAATAAATAAATTTTAATAAATTTTTTTAATTAAAAAATGTAAAAATTAAATATATAAATAATACTAATTTAATTAACAAATATAAATAATTTTTTTTATAAAAAGATATAAATAATTTTTTTTTATTACAAAATTTAAATAATTTTTTTTAATTAAAAAGTGTAAAGAATTTTTTTTAATTAAAAAATGTATGTATATACACTTTTTTCTGTTAAAATAATAAACGACATCGACAATAGCTTGAGTAAATATTGCGCAAACCCATTAACACTTGCATAACATGTACAGCCTGTATTGTAAAAAAAAATTAGCATTTAGAATTGTGAAAAATAAATAATTAACTGAAAGTACCTAATGTCTAGAAACTATCTAAAAAAACATTTACATTTTGTAGTACTCATTATGTATGTACATACATAAATATAGCATACAAAAAAAAAGCATGAAAAACTTTTCTGTGCAGTTTACAAAACACAATACAAAAATATTGTTTAAATAAAATAAAATGAAGTATTAAAAATGTGCACATGTAGAAAACATACTACATTAAAATAAATAAGTATATGTGCTAATACATATATAAACTTTTTACTATATTTGCAATATTTTGTAGTGCAATCATATAATATGTTAAATTAAGCGTTATACATACATATGTACAAACTCGCGTTATATATAAATTTTATGTTAAGCCCTATAATATACATGCCTATCATTATTATGTTGATAAAAATCACCCGTGCATTATAATCATTACAATTATCAATATTAATACAAAAACATATATTCGCAGAATAATTAAAATTGTTTTTTGTAAACAGTTATTATACATATATATTTATACATATATTTTATATGTAGTTATCAATTTTTTTTTTTTCAACTTTATACACTGCTTACAATTCTACATATGTACATATATATTAACTACATTTATTATATTTATATTTAAATAGAATTCAACTAACAAACATATACATACACACAAACACATGCATAAATGTATCAACTGTGTTTAAAATTATATTATGATGAAAAATAAAATAAAACTCATTAGTAAAAGTAATAAAAATTTACATACATATACACGTAGTGACATAAGCACATACATAAATACCTTAGCTCATATGCATGCATATAAGATTAAAGATAATACATTCATATAAATTGCCTTAAATTGTTGTACAAACTCACTAATAAATAACATATTATAGTCATAGCAAAGTGTAAGTAAAGAAAAGTTATTTCTTAGTATATATGTATATATACAAACATACTGATATGTAGCAAATATTGTAAAACAATTTTCTTATGTTTGTACAGTGTCGACAAATTCATACATAAATAATGTTTATACTTATTATTATTTTTTAATACATATTTGTTGCTTTGCCAATATTTTGTAAATTAATTGACTGCCTTCCATCACCAAACTTTTATTGTGCTCTACACCTTAATGATATTTCAAAAAAAAATATTAATTTTAAACATGTTTTATTTAATATGCTCATTTATTTGCTTATAAACCCTTTATTCTTAAAAAAAAAAATTATTTATAGAATATAACCAAAAACTAACTATTAAATGTATCGAGATTCAATGCATATAAATTTCTTGTAAGTGAAAAAAAAATACAAAAAATGAAAAGAAAATAAAAATAAAAATATTACGAATAAAAAATTAAAAAATACATATAGTACGATATTTTGTTAATATATGGAAAGCAAACAAATCAAATGGAGTAAATTAGCAAAGAGTAAGTACAGATTTTGAAGAAGAGCGATTTTAATAAATACATACTTTTTTAGTTAAACTTTAAAAAGTAAAAAATAATACTTTAGCATTTTTAAAAAGTTATTTATTTGCGCTCTAATTGATGATCGTGTTGAAAATTTGCATTTTCCTTTATTAATTAGTCAATTTTTATTTATTACTTCAGAAAGTATATAAGCGCACACACATATGTATATTAACAATATCAGCTATTTTAAACATACATACATACGCATAAGAAAAGGATGAACGATTATATGTACGTACACAAGAGATTCGGTTAGAAAAATCAATTCGTTCATAGAAATTTCAACAGAAATCTTTGGTAGCGTTTTTGGGTAATTTACCAACGACTTAACCGATAGTAGGCTGCCACTGAACCGTCCAACAATCGATATGTTTAGAACTATTGATTAAAAACTCCAGGAACATTCGTTTCACTCGCCTTTCTGATGGCAGCGTTAGTTGTTGTTATTTCTCTTTCCGTGTGAAGTGGCATCCCCAACATAGCGATGTAAGCATTTGTCATAAAAATATATTTCAGCAGTGATAATATATTAATAAATTTTTGTTTATTAGATTTCAACCTACATATTAATTTAACACAAAAATATTTTCGCAACAAAACAAATGTTTTTAAATTGTGAAACATTATAAGAGGCTGCTAAATATCATTTTAATATCGTTACTTCGATACAATTCTAGTATCTCCAGCTCGGTGACATCTGTTTACAGACGTATACAGTAATTTTTGTCATCTTTGCATTTATTTAGTTCATATAAAATTATAATGTAAAGAGACTCAGTATTTTATTTCGAAAATATACGTGGTATTTTGTCCTGTGAATCTCGCTATTTATTAATTACAACAAACTCAAAGGAATTGCAACCGAACGAAAAACAAACCATTCAGGGACAGAGACAAGTGGCCAAAATGATCACTTCAAATTTTGTGCGTTCTACCTGCTGCATTTCGTTGGTCTTTTTGGCTTTTTGCATAGCCGACTCTGCCACCGATGAGGTAAGCATTGTACCTTCCAATTTTGTTTTATTTATAATAAAATATAAATTCGAATTTTTATACTTTGTTGGCATATGTTAGTTATTGTTGTATGTGTGAAGAACTTTTATGCGTGTGTGTGTGTGCATATGCGATTTGTTAGGGTGGGGAATAATGCTGTTGCGCTATTGTGGCAGAACCGAATTTAACTAGCAACGTCAGTACTTATATGGGGGGAAAACTGTAAATTTGAATGTAAGGTTCTGTGTCCTACATATTCGGCGGATGGCTTATAAAATAGTAAATTGAATATTTTTGCTTTACTGATTATGTGCTGACAAGTCTGAGCTTGATATGAGTATTGATTCTATATACGCTGAAAAGGGTATATTAAGTTTGTCACGAAGTTTGTAAAACCAAGAAGAAGAAGAAGTGGTTCATTTGTCGGATATCGGACCACTATAGCATATAGCTGTCATACAAACTGAACTATAAAAATCTAATTCTTATATGGAAAACATGTTTCTTTGAGGAAATATTTTTACGAAATTTGGCATGAATTATTGCACAAGGCAACGCTACAATATCTGTAGAAATATTTGAGATCGGATCATTATAGCGTATAGCTGTCATACAAACTTACCGAAAAAAATCATGTCTTTGTATGAAAAACTTTTTTATATGTGAAATTTATTATAGCTTCGGTGCAACCGAAGTTAAGGTTTTTTTCTTGTTTTGCTTTAGTATTGCTTGTTGATAGGAAATCGAAAAGTTAATAAACAACTTTACGTGTTTATATATTGTATTTTAATACAAACTAATTAAATGTGACTGCTCAATTTTCAGAATCTCTCAATACAACGCTATTTGTCCTCAGACGACACAAGTTTAAGCACAAATAAGCGCATTCAACAGATTATGCAGGGCGGCTCAGCGGATATAAGTTGGCCACAACCACCTAAATTAAAAGCGGAAAAAATCGACGTGAAAGAGGAAATAGAGAAATTAAATACAAGTGAGTCACTTAAGTGTGTCACACTTAATATATGTTTAATGTATTAACAACTTACTTGTAGCTTATGTGTATCAAAGTGCTTGGCCAGCTGATGAGCTGAAATTGGGTTCCGTGAGTGCGGTTAGCTTTGACAAGAAAGGAAATGTGGTTATATTTCATCGTGTCGATCGTCTTTGGGATGGCAATACGTTCAACAACCGAAATGTCTTTCAACAACGAAAAAAAGGACCCATACGCGATAATACCGTTTTGGCATTAGAGCGGAAAAGTGGTCATGTTGTTTATGGTTGGGGAAAGGGCTTGTAAGTTGCAATAGAAATGCAACTCCAACTAACTTTACTAAACAATAATGCTTATTAATTTCAGATTCTACATGCCACATGGTTTGACAATCGATCATGAGGATAATGCTTGGGTAACTGATGTGGCGCTGCATCAAGTTTTCAAATTTGGTCCACATGGCTCTAATGATAAACCGCTGTTGACTTTGGGTACTGCTTTTATACCAGGCGTAGGTGATGCAAAGTTTTGCAAACCCACTTCCGTTGCCGTACTCGAAAATGGTGATTTCTTCGTAGCAGATGGTTACTGCAATGCACGTATTTTGAAATATGACAAAGCGGGCAATAAAATTCTTTCATGGGGACAAAACTCATTCTCTGGTGAGTCGCTACATACGTAAACATTTTATGTAATAATATATAGTAACAAAGAAAATATAAATGTAGGCATGTCCTTCGAGGTGGCGCCAAAGAACTACTTCGCCATTCCGCACGCACTCACGCTTGTGCCCGAACAGCAATTAATTTGCGCAGCTGATCGTGAAAATGGTCGTGTACAGTGTTTCTACTGGACCAACGGTACATTCCATTCACAATATCATAGTCAAATTATAGGCGATCGCTTGTTTAGCATGGATTATACGCCAGTGGAAGGTAAATACAGCTTATAAAATATAGATATCTTTTATCCAATTATGAAACAATAATTAATAATATAAAATGTTAAATGTTTACAGGCGGTCAACTTGTCGTTGTTAATGGACCAATCGGTGAGTTGGGCATCAAATCGCTACCTTACAATGAAGTACGCGGCTATGTAATCAATATGCGCACCAAACAGGTGATCTCAAAGTTCGGTCCTAATGATATGCAATTCTCAAATCCACATGATGTGGCCGTCACCAAGGATGGCAATGAGATATATGTCGCCGAATTAAATCCGATGCGTATACATAAATTTCTACATAAAACCGTGGCAAAATCGTTGCCTTTGTCAGCTGCAAAAACAACTACGGTTAGCAATAGCAATTCATTGAGTGAAACCGGTCCCGTATATAAAGTGAATGAAATTTTGCTTAAATCTAACATCACCAACACAGACAATCCAGCGCTAGCTGAAAGCGCATATGAACTAGACCCAATCTCATCACTGATAGCCTCAGAACATCGAGTACAGACCACAGAGAAAACACATCATCCCGGTGGCACAGCCATACTGGTAGCGTCACTAATGTTACTTTTTGCTTCGCTAACATTTATGCTGGCATTTATTATAGCACGTCGACGCAAACGAGGTAACGAAACGTTAAGTGTTGGGCCACCTAGTGAATTGGTGTATCGCAAATTGGTCGCTTCCAGTCAAAATGTTTGTGATGACTGCCCTTGATGATGCGATGTTGTTTCCTTGCTTCCTTTAGTGTTTCTATTTTTTAATTATACTTTATGTATCTATGTATGTACATAACTTTTATGTGTACATGTTTTGTTTTTTTCTTTGTATTTCCATTTTTATAATCTTCTATTTTATATTTGTTTATAATTTAATCTGGCAACTGTGCACTTTTGTGCAAAAATTTTATTAGTTTTTAAAAACTGCGACTTAGTTTTAGTTTATACTATGCTAATCTGTTATTTTTTAAATGTTTTGCTTTATGTGCTAGCGAACTTAAATTGTAAGCTTTAACTATGATTGACAGCTCATAATTTTGTCAATTTTTAGCTCACCATCATGTACTTTTATTATATCCTTTATACAATTTAATGATAATAAAGTTTTTAAATATATTTCATAATTTTTATATATTATATATGTATATATACATACATATTTTTATTTTAAATTTCTTTTTGAGTTTTAATTTTAAATTTTATTTCTTTATGTTTTATATTTCTTAGTTCTTTATTTCTTCTATTTTAAATTTTTACTGCTTTTAATATTTTTATTTCTTTATTATTATTTTCTTTTATTTTTACTTCTTGTTATATTTTCTGTTTATTTTTATTTATTTTCTTTAATTTTTCATAAATTTTCTTTAATTTTATTATATCTTAGTTTTTATATCTCTTAATTTTTATATCTTTTAAATTTTGTTTTATTTATTTTAATTTTATTTTATTTATTGTTTTGTATTTCTTTTAATTTTTCAAATTTATTTTATAGTTTTGCTTCTTTTCTTCTTTAATTTTTAATTTTTATTTATTTTCTTTAATTTTAATTTTCAATTTATTTTTATTGATGTTTTTCTTTTTAATCGTTTTAATTTTTATTTTCTATTTAATGTTTTAAATTTCTTTTATAGTTTTTATTCATTTTAATTTTTATTTCTACTTAATTTTTCTTTGTTAATTTTTACTTGTTAATGTTTTTGTTTCTATTTAATTTCTTTATATTTTTATTTCTTTAATTTATTTTAAGCTTTTTATTTTATCATCTTTAATTGAAAAACATTTTGTCATATTATAATAGATTTTGTAACCAAAGTGTGCGTAATATTCAATATTTGTTGTATTTACGATACGTTTCGATGAGACTGAGTGTTCGTTTAACTGTGTTTTCGTTTAATTATTGCCTCTACTTGTAGGTTGTTTGCCATTCGGCGTGAAGAATCGTCGTCATGCCTGGGATTTTCCGTCAAAGCCAGAAGGTTTCAAATTGGGCGGCCTCCTGTTGGATCGTAGCAAGCGTGGTGGTTTTGAGAAGCTCGATCAAAATGCCAGTGACGAAGAGAACGAAGCGTCTACAAATATGTTGACCAGTGCACCATTTGCTTAAGTACTTACATTGTATATATATATATATATATATGTACATATGTATGTATGTAAAATGCGCATTAACGCCTGCAAGCTTTATTGAAGAAATGAAGACTATCTGATTTCTTATGACGTCATTATATGAAATCTTATGACTAGGAGAGTGTAATTTTTTTGATCGATTAAACTGCGTTCGCACGAGCACTCTTTTTGTCCGCCATCTTTATCGGCAAATTCTCTTGTGGTTTGATTCGGATAATTTTCTGTTTTTCATTTCATAACATATTTTCAAACTCTTGTACGTGTCAGGTACGCGGTGCACAAAGATGTTTTGATTATCCTTTTATTCACCCTTTTCTAAAATATTATATACATACATAGTTACATATTACAAAAAATTGATAATAAATTTCAAATCTCCGAACATATCATAAATATTCATTTGAAACCGAGCGCTGTTGCAACAATTGTTGTTACGAACAAGAACACAAAGCGCGCCAGCCGAGCACGAGCGGCACGGGCTCTTCGTCTTCGTTGTTGTTGTTTTTGTTTTATAATAGTATAGAGTTGACAGTCCTTGGCCAGTTAAAAATCCGAGTCCGTTCCGGTAACGTAGACCCGACTGTCGTGGAAACGAACGTCTTCGTCTTTCCTCGTAGTCTCCTCACCTACACAAAAAAATAAATAAAAAAATCGGTTTTGTCAACAAAAGAGTGCTCCTGTGAACACAGTCTTAGTGAACTTGTTTTTTAGAAGTGTATGACGAACGAATGGTACTTTATTTTAGAAATCAAAGTTATATACAGATATTTCGTGTCTCCTCAAAGGCCTTGGGAACTTTCCGGATGCTTATCTGTTTTAGCGTCAATTATGAGCTATGATGTGCATACATTTACAAAAATTAGCTAAAAAACTGCGAGATCACTAAAAATTCAGAAAGTTTCCATTTCTTTCGGAACTACCAAAATTTCCAACGGAAAGTTTTCAATCTTAAAAAATCCTAAATTTGTATGTCTGTATGTAGCATTAGTTTTCAGTATGAGAAATTTGTATATTTGTGATTAATTTATGTAAATTTTTAAGAAAACATATTCTCGCATTTTTCAAATATGCTAAGTCAGAACTAACTGTGGCCAAATTTTATCTAACTATTGTTGTACAAAACAAATGTATTTTAACTATTTATTAAGATGAGTTATATTGTATAGGAATATAATTATTGAACAAATATATTTGACGCTAAGTAAAAAAAAATAATAATATAGTCACCAATTTATTTAAATTTTTAATTAAAAATCATAAATTTTTTTTTTCATATTACAGTTATATGCATATAAGTCAGCAAAAAATAAAAACTACATTTTCAAAACACGCGCGTATCGAAGTCAAGTTTCTGTTTGCCACATCTATTTAAGGCATTTTTGGTCACTAATATAAAATGTCGCTTAAAATAAAAAAAAATTCTAAATGAAGTCTGTCAATTCATAAGCTCCAGCAGAGCTGCAGTCTGCTTCAAACAATTGCAACCACAACCAGAGGCACAAATGCTATGTTTCTGTAGAAATGAGAGAAATCAAAAAAATAACAGTAAATATAAGTTATAAACAACATATATATTTAGCATTTTTAAGCTGCAACACACCTTAAACCACTGCAACATATGCACCATATGACCGCCATGACCACAGGCTAAACACGCATTGGCTGCGCCCTTCACCGGCAAATTGCAGAGCTGGCAGAAAAGCACTGGACGCTGGCAGCTGGTGCATGAGGGTGTGCGCTTAATTTTATTGCAACCGGTGCACTCGGTGACGAATTCAACACCATGCGGTTGGTTTGGTGAGAACATTGTATGCTTTAGTATCTGCAGGCGTAATGCATGTTAAGCAAAATAAAATTAAGTATTTGCAAACTAATAACAGTTATATTACCAGCGAGCGTTTGGTCAGCAGTTGCCAGCCAAACAATATATCCGCATACACTTTCTTAAAGTGGTCGAATAACGGCATTTTCGTGCGTCTTATCAGCGAACATGAATACGAGTCGGAGTTGCAATATTTCGAGTCCACCCAGTCCAAAGAGTCTGACCAAGAATTGCTGCGCAATTGCTTCATATGCACATTGACCGTAAGCGCCGAGTTAGATTTGGGGTGTGATGCATGATAATCGATGGGCAGCACTGTATGGTAGGGCGAAGTATTATGCAATTGTTGAAGTTTATTGGTGTGTTGGTAGCATTGCGTGGTGCTCAACATAAATTCACCTAAATCGCCGGCTGTTGAGGAGCATTTGTGAAAGAGACATGCCAACATAACAGCCGTCTGTAAATCGCCTGCGCTAGCAAAATGCATAATTAATGCCTCGAGTAGAAATTTCTTAAACGGATCTTTGTAGAAGAGTGTTTCGTATTTGGTTTCGTTCGGTATATTCGGTTTGGCTATCAGCTCGGCGAGTGTCCATATCGGCACCAAATCATAACGTCCATATGTTTCGCACACTTGCCGATTGCGACAACATGTAGCGCGCAAATTACGCTTGTCCAGTGAGAATTCTTTCGCCATTTCGCAACTGATATTCAGCAGCTTGCAGGCTTCATATATATGTACGATGGGCGTGGCATTGGTTTGCTTTTGCATCGAACGATTTTTCGTATGTTTCGCACTCATGCGATCTTGTAGATAAAAGGAGGCATTTGAATCGCGATGCGTATATAGGACATTACCCAAGAGTACGCCACCGCTAATGGCGGAAAATGTGCGCGGTGTTGTGTTCTGATGACGTAATGTTAAGCGTTTGGTATTTGGCGCTTGCGCAAAGACGACCAAAAGGCCGGTAGTATTGAAATTAACACCCGATGTGCGTGGATATGGTATACAGGCGTCGTGTAGGGCGCCACTTAATGCGCCCTCCAAGCGTGGCGACTGTAAGCGTAGTTGTGATTTGTCGGTGACACCGCCCACAGACTGTTTTCGTACAGTTCGATAGAATAAACACAATTAGTTAGAAAACAAAAATAATAAAACAGCGCTAAATCAATTGCACCAACCTTTTTCATGGCACCCACCAATGCGCGCAGGCATTGCTCTACACAGGTGCGTGATTTTTTAACGCGTTGCAAAGCGTTCGTTCTGAGTGTCTTCAGCAGAACGGCAGACAGTTGTTCATGCAGTGTGGTGCCTTCGCAAAAGGAGAATTCGGGTCCAATATTCGGACTCGGATATTCAGTTGGAAAAACTGTCTATAAGAAAAGAAAAGAAAAGCAAAGGAAAACAAGTAAGGAAGAACTAAGTTCGGGTGTAACTGTGCAAGGTTCAAAGCAGTGTAAATGCCTTCATGTGTAGCAAAACTTTATATTAAACTACAAAAAACGTTAACTTCAGCGACACCGAAGCGGTATAAAAAAAATCTTTATCTTAATATTGATTGATCGGTGTGTATGACGGCTATATGGTATAGAGGTCCGATATCGGCGGTTCCGAGTAATGGGCAATTTCTTGGAAAAAATTAACGTGTAAAACTTTGTTTGCACTTTAAGGGGTCGTTGGCCTTTTCGTTTACTTTTGGTCAAGCTTTGTTTACATTTTGGATCAGCGACCCTTTGGTTTACATTTTATGGGGTCAATGACCCCTTTTGTTTACGTTATGAGGCCAATCACGCCTTTGTTTGCCTTTTGCCGAGTTCAATGACTCTTTCTTTTACATTTAATGAGGTCGATGAACGTTTTGTTTACATTAAGCTAAGTACACAACCTTTATTTACATTTAGCCAAGTTAACAAAATTTTTTTCACATATTGGGTCAATGGCCCTTTTGTTTACATTTTATGGGGTCAATGTTCGCTTTGTTTACACATTATGAGGTCAATGAACCTTTCGTTTACAAGTAGCTGACCGATCAAAAACAAGACCCTGTATGGAAAACTATCAGCTATTTGCGATTTTTCTTCAAAAACATTATTATTATTTTCTTTGTTGATTGAAAATATAAGAGTAGTAATTTGTTTACAATATTTTTTTTTTATATATTTGTTGTAATATTTATAACCTGAGCAGGGTATATTATATATATAGTTTTGAAGTCGCAGAAGGAACCATCGGAGACCCGTCTGAAACGGACGGACAGACAGTCACCCGGATTTCAACTCGTCTCGTCATTCTGATCATTTATATATAGTATAGTATATAACCCTATATCTATCCCGATTAGTTTTAGGTGCGGTACAAACAACCGTTAGGTGAACGAAATTATTATACTCTGTAGCAACATGTTACAAGAGTATAATAAAAATAAAAACCGTGTAAATGTGTTTAAAGCTGGTCAAGAAGACACTAACCTGCAACACCACCACGTGTCCACCAGCTGAAATCTTGAAGACTGCAAAACGCTTAATCGCATCTAATAGATCGACCTCTACATGAGGCATATTTCTATTTAGTAGCGAGAACTCATGATGTAGCGAGCATGTCGGCTGATCTGTAAGTGAACGTGCTATGCGTGTCTCCTCCTTACGCATTGGCGGTGGAGGCGAACGCGATAGTGTCGGTATTGTTAGACTGTCAGAGCTTTCTGAAGGCAATGAAGCGGCACCTGTACGCGTCAAACTCAAAGTGGGCTGATATAGAGATGACGAGTGTATTGGTTGAAATTTAGTTTGAGTGTCGGCAAAAGAGTCAGGTGTATCGCACACTTCATTGCTGTCGAAATCGGGTTCACAGAGTTTCAGTATCATATCATCAATCTTCCACACGCGTAAACTACGATCACGTGACCATGTAACTAGTTCCTAAAATTAATAACAAATTAAATTTAACATTTCAAACAATATTCGATTTTTATGAATGCATTTTTTTTTCAATTTTAGCAAATAAGCGTGACTTACAATCTCCGATGTGTTTTCACGATTCGGTCGCCATTCAAAATCTAGTATTACATCAGTATGCCCAACAAAGGAGCATACAGGATCCGTTTGTTTGTTATTACTCCATAACAGTAAACTATTCTCACCGCGTCCCATAGCAGGCACAACAATGCTAACCAAACCGTTACCTATAGGCTGTAAATAAATATAAATACAAATATTATTAAAAAATATATAAAAATTAATTATTAAAAATTATATAAAAATAAATTATTAAAAAATATATAAAAATAAATTAATAAAAAATTAATAAAAATAATATATTAAAATAAATTATTAAAAAATATATAAATATAATTTATTAAAAAAAAAAATTAATTAAAATAATAAATATAAAAATACAAATGAAAAAAAAAATATAATTAAAAATACAATATATAAAAATTAAATAATTTAAAATTAAACAAAAAAATTTTTTTGTTTTAAATATATAAAAATTAAAAATAGCATACATATATTAAAAAATAAAAAAATTTATATACAAAAAGATTAAAAAATAAAAAGTTAAAAAAATATATTATATATAATTAAAAAAATATATATATACATACAAATATGACAATCAAAAAAAAAGTAAAACCTCAAAAAAAATATTTTAAAATTAAAAAGAATAAAAAGAATTATTAAAAACAAATAATTAAATCACTTACGGTATAACGCGCGCGCCATACAGGCGATGACATAGTTATAATTTTCTCTGCACGCCGTGGATTATTTACATCGAAGTATTTCACTGTGCCATCTTGACTAGCAGTAGCTAAGCAAGTTTCACGCAAATGACTCCAATTAATGCCATGCACTCTGTAAGCAAAGTTATTTAATGTACGATTTATAGAAATAAGAATAAGTTTATTTTGTAAAAAAAACCTGTTCAAATGAGCTGTGATATAATGTACAGGACACGAACCCTTACGCATATCCCATATGCGAAGATCGCCGTCATGGGCCGCCGCTAATAGATGACCCGAAACACGATTGAAACCAACTTGTGTTGCGCCAGCTGCATTTAAATCAAAGATTTTTGTGTTTAAAAGACAAAAAATAGTATTTAACGCATTGCACTTACACATGCAGACTGCACTCAAGGACAGTGTTGGCTTGCGGGGATCGCGCAAATCCCAAATGTGTGAAAATGTATCAATTGAACAGCTGACCAATAGATTGCTATTTTTGCTATGCCAATCAATATCGGTTACCATGCGTGTGTGACCACGCAATGAATGATAATGCTGCATGTCGGCAGCACCCCATGTAACAACATCAATGTGCTCACTGGTCTATCAAAGCGTAATAAATAATAATACATCTTTTCATCATTACCATAATAACTGTGCCATTTTAACTCACTGCGATCGCACAATATTCCTGACGATTTGGTAGTGTTGCAAATTCAGCTGCGGATACTTCATATTTTGAATTTCTTTGGAATTCACGTAGTGTACCATCATCCTGGCCGAGGCGTTGCAATGCCAAATGACGTCGACCTGCCAACAAAACCCATTGACCTGTATAGTCGACAGACATGGCAGTCGCCTGCAATTCTCGGTGTTCATAACACTTGTTGCTCTGCTGGATAATATGTGCATTTTCACGCTCTCGGCCACGGATACTATTGTTACCCGCCGCTGCAGATTCCGAAGTTGGTGACATATTTTTGTTGAATGGAGTATACCACTACTTTTATTATCCGTAAAAATTATGAACCTGTGGTGCTTAAAAAAAAAAAAAAAAAAAATACAAGCTGAGTTGACTTGGCGAATTACATTATAGTTAATAACGAAATAGTCACAAATATTGAAAAATAATGTTTGTACACATCTATAAGTGTTGAAACGCTTTATTGTAATTAAATAAAATCAAAACATTTCCCAAATTCTCAAAATCACCTATCTAGACATCTAAGAATAATAGAAAAACTTAATTTGTTTATTCTTATCAGCGTTAAACTATATATGAGTAAATGTTATCAATTTTAACGATATAATAAATGTATCGATATATAAAATGTCACTGATAAATTCTTTTTACCGGCACTGATACAAAGTAATTAGCAATGCGAAATGCACGTGTAGTGAGTGATATTTGTTTACATATTTTGTATGTCATAATTTTAGCCTATTTACAAAATGTTTAAGTTCGTATTTGATGTAGAAGTTGATAGCAACAATCCATTTGTTAATAAAAATTTAGAAAGCGAAAAGGAAGTAATAAACACTTCAAGGTAAAGAAATAATAATTTTTAACAGTGCTATCGATGAACATTGTACTTCTAGCAAGACTGATCAAAGAGAATGGTACAAAGCGGAGAAAGTTAGAATTGGTGTGGAAACATTGGAGAATCTAGATGTTTATAAGTTGAATGCTACCACTTTGAACATAGCTGATGTTCCTATTCAACATATCGTCACAGGATTTCTGATTGAACATATAACATGTAATGATAGTGATAATAAGGACATTGCTGAAGCCGAACAAACGCACTCTGATCTCATACCAGGTGTTTATGAAGGTATTTAGAAAGTTAAAAAATGTGCTGTAGGCGATTATAATGCCTGTTAATTTGTCAGGCGGTGCAAAAATTTGGGAGTGTACCGAGGATCTGCTTCAATATTTAGCCAAAAATATCAAACCGCAATATTGGGATGGAAAACGTGTGTTAGATCTAGGCTGTGGCGCTGGTTTACTTGGTATTTACGCATATAGATGTGGCGCTGTAGTGCACTTTCAGGATTATGTAAGTCGCATTGAACAAATATATCATTATATATATATACACTATATAAAGTCAAAAGAAATTAATTTTCAACATCTTTTCTAGAATAAAGATGTACTAACACAAATTACAATACCAAATGTTATGTTAAATGTAGAAACACAGACAAAACCTGTGGATGAAAAGTCAAGTGCTATTGAAACCGAAATGAAAATAGAAGAAAATTTTAATATTGAATTACTGGAACAAAATTTACATTTTTATTCCGGCGATTGGTGGGAATACGCGGAACTAACCACAAAAAGTGCAGAAGACAAAACAAATAAGTTTGACTATATTTTTACATCAGAGACTATATACAATCCGCAAAATCAACAAAAATTATTGGACACATTTTATGCAAAATTAAGCACCGACGGTGTTGTGCTAGTTGCAGCAAAAACATATTATTTCGGTGTTGGTGGTGGACTGAGACAATTCGAGGAACTGATTACTTCTGATAAGCGTTTCCAATGTAAAGTGGTCTGGTCAAGTGTGCAAGGAGTTGGGCGAGAAATATTAGAATTAAGATTCAAATAATTATTGTTGTATATTGAAATATAAGAAATTATAGAAAATCGATTGGAATTTTCTAGAATTATAAGCGTGTTACTGCCTTGTAAATGTGTATGTGTATTAAAAAAATAATATCTATTTGACAATAAGAGATTTTATTTTGAATTTTAAGAATTACTTCAATAAAATAAATTATGTACTGTTTAGTATATATAATAAAATACATACATAGTATATACATAAACAGAAATTAATAAGCTTAAAATTACACAAGCATCACTTTGAAATATGCAACTATATCGTGGTATACTTTTTCCGTCGATCCAGCAAATACCACATCATATTCGCAATTCAATTCGATAAACAACATGGGTTCTGCTTTGATTGATGGCATTTGAGAAATTTTTGGTGTAATTTTTAATGATTCCAGTACATCCATTGCTTGATCCTGCACCGAGTCGTAACTAGTTCTCAGTATGTTATTCGCCGCTTCTCTCAATTCAGGATAGAATTTTTTGAAATAGTTATGTCGATCACAAATTAGCACACCACGTATTTCACCAGTACCGGATTCAGTGAGCTCACGATAAGTTTTAAATTTTTTATAACGTTCCGATTCAATGTCTTCTTGGGCGCTTTGAAGTGAAGCTATTTGCATACTTTGCTCAAGCTTATTTACATCCTATTATGCATATATATGATAAAACAAAAATATTTATTTATCACTTAATATACGTGTGTTATATCCCATACTCACATCAACAACGGCAAGTAGCATTTCATAAGCTGCTTTTTGGCGTGCATCCTTTTTCTTCTCCGATACACCATAACGACGAACAGAAGCAATTGTACATAGAGCTGTGAATTCTGGTGCGTCCGGTGTGCCAGCCTGTTGTACTATTTCGAACGTTGGCAAAGGCATATTCTGTTGCACACAATAATCCCGCAATTGCACAACCATATCAATGGGTGGTATGCTTGCAGCGCCATCATCCGCTAATTGTGATGCGTCAGCAAGCCGCAATTTTTTTATAATAACAGCGGCCGCGTTATGTTTTGCATCACGCTTGGAACGTCCTATACCCACAGCGTCAGTTTCCATGAAGTCAATCTGGAGATTATTATAAATTAAATAGATATTCACATTTCAACGCCATTTAAAGTATCACCTTGCAACAAAAACTACCGTCGTCTTCGTCTAGATATTCATAAGTAGGTGGTGGTACTTTGTTTTTAGCACAGTATTCCTGAAGCACTGAAACAGAGGACTTGCCAACCATTCTTATTCTATCTTCATAGGTATTGAAGCGTTATGAATCTTTCCGTTAAATTCTTTAATTATGTGGCCTAAAATAAATAAATTTGTACCGTCTGTCTTCATCTAAAAGATATACACAATCGACTATAGTCGATAACAAATATTATTTTGGTCTAGCAACTTCAATTAGTTTTTATCATAAAGAAAAAAATTTAGTTTTAAGTGAAAGTAACAATATACACATATAATAATTTTTTAAATCATAAAATTCTATTAACAAAAAATGTAACTTAGTTTTTAAGCAAATATATTCAACATTACTATTATCACTACACATTCAAGTATGTAATCTCTAAATCTCGAAAATTTTCTATTCAGTTCGGGGAAGTCCCTTGTTATAACAATTAAAAAATTCAACATTACTCTTATTACTAGATATTAAAGTATGTAACTTCAAAAATAACACTCTTTTTTTCCGTTCCGAACCCGTTCGGTTAAGTCCCTTTTTATATTAGTAAAAAGTATATACTCTGTTTATTTGCTTGAAACCGTATATTTGATAATACAATATTTTTGTTTAATTTAAATTCGTACATTCGTGAATGCATATCAGTATTCACATTAATAATTTGTCAAAATTTTACCCAGCTCAAGAGCATACATACTTATCTAGTTAAAAATTTGACATTCACCACGTAAAATGTCAAAATTCCACTTTCATATATCAGAACTTTAATTTTTCTACCATTTGGCTTGGCACATAGTCTTATTATCCCAAAATTAAATTGTTTATTTATTGTAGTCTGGTAGCATAGGTTGTAGACGTAGAAAAAGTCTTTTGCTCTAGCCAATATGTTGTAAAATTATTTTAAAAATAAAATATAAATACTTTAAAAGATTTCTATTTTAACATACAAGCTTGTTAATAACGTAAATATGTCGATGGCATAAACAAGTTCCAAAAGAAAAAGTATGCTTTGTTAAGTAACTGTACTTAAAGTATGCTCTGTTGACGTAGTTTTGGGTGAACATTTGTAGCTGCCTTCAATAGCTACGCCGAATTGGATTATTTACAATATTTTGGATTTTGTATCAATCCAATAAATACAAAAACATAAATAATATGTATTCCGAATGGGTTTCACTTTCTTCACAAATCTCGGCCGACAGCTGTGCAGCGCAGTCTTGCAGTGTACTCAATAAATTCCCTGCCTCCGCAGGCCGTGAAGTAACAGTGTCTGTTGTACGTCAGTTAGCAAGTAACTTGGGAATTACACAAAATGCTGAACCGAGTCATTTAGTACGCGATGAAGAGGTATAGTAATATTTTTGTAATCTATGTGTTGTTTTATGCATCTTATTCAACTTTTTTTCTTTACTACAGGTTAACTGGTGCATGGATGTCATCTGTTTTGGTTTGTCACTACCATTACAAGAACATGAAACAATAAAAGATTGTGTAAATGTCTACTGCGAATGGCTGACAGCTTTGCATCCACAGCCACGAATAAGTGTGCCGAAACCCATAAGCGAAGATGCAAACATGTACTGCAGGAAAATCGTCAGCCACTTCCATAACTTGTTTGTGCCACGCCAGGGGGAAAGTATGTTTAATTCTTGTGCAAAATTAATTAAATGCTCATTAATACTAATATATAGTTACCTTATCAGTAATAACGTATTGCATGGTTATACAATACAAATAAGCATTTTCAGAATAAAATACTCAACTTTAAAAAATTTAACAATAGGGAGTCACATTGTATATAGTACTAGTAATTTTTAATTTTAAATACTTACTCAAAACATAATTATGCACATTATAAAACTGCTTTACCTTCCCTTTCAAGTCTTGCCATTTATATATCAAAATACGCTTGGTAGGTGCTCGGTCCAATTGCTAAATATTTTGTTTGCAACACTATTCAACTGCAGATATTTTAATTCAAGGTGCTGATACCATTAATCGTCAAGCAGTGCTGTGCCACCGAGTCTTGCGTACACTTCAGCAAATGGCACAAATCTCACAAACAATGGATCGGAAAACATGGGAAGCGTTACTCCTCTTCTTGCTGGCCATCAATGAAGTTCTGCTAGCGCCACCCACAGTCAAAGATGATGTTGGCGATCAGCTATGTGAAAGGGTATTGTCTGTGCTCTTCGAAGTTTGGCTCTTAGCATGCGTGCGTTGTTTTCCTTCACCTTCACTGTGGAAAACACTGCAAGAGTCATGTGCCATGTGGCGTCATCGTATAGCTTTGATTGATCAATGGAATCGTGTTAATCTCGCTTTAACTGCACGTTTGTTGGAATTTACATATGGCCCAGCCTTTCCAGAATTAAAAATATGTATATATAGTTTAAAGATAAACTTTATTGAATACTGTTATTAAAATTTTATTATTTCTAGCTGAAGAAGATGCACAGCTAATACCTGCGGATATGACAAATGACTGTGTGGCGCAGACCTGGTATCGTTTGTTGCGCACAATTGGCAATCCGACAGCATTATGCTCGCCACATGTTATCAGCAAATCGTCGCATTTTATGCAGTGGGCCCTCACACATGACAAAGGTGCTGAAACTTACCAGCATCCATGTTTGCAGGCACTGCCACAAATATTTCTGAAAGCAATCAAAGGCATTTCCAATCAAGTTGACGCATTTCTGGGTAAGCAATTAACTGTAATGATCATGCGGCGAGCGATTTACAAAAGTGAGGCTAGCTGAATGTGTTTCAAATTAGAATTTAGTAATTAGCTTAAAATGTTCGCCACATATTTGGCATTTTGTTGAATATGCTATTTAAATCGGTAGCTAAAACATCTGTCATTCAGCGCTGCCAGTTTTCATGGAGCACTCAAATATTGGTAATTTTTTTTTCACTTCCGTGATACTGGCTGTAAAAATTGAATAACATCCGACTCTTATATAAAAAGTTAAGTATTTTAAAATTAGAAATACATTTTATGTTCTTAAGTAAATATTGTAGTTTTTAAGTCACTAATTCTTTTAGTCTACATTATGTTATAGAAACCTTCAAAAATGTTCTATATCGTATCAATTCCTACCGATTGATGTTAAGCATCGCTTTAGATATCCTTCTAAATCTCTATTCTTTTTATAACCTCTGTCAATGTATTTCCAAAAAACAAAAAAAAAAAAATGCTATTAACCGCGTATGATGCGCAAACACCATAGGCATTTATCGACCACCGCCGCATCAAGCGGAAGACGCAATCACAAATTTACTTGATATACGCCTCTCACTCAACGAGGCGACTGCCACCTCTGTCACAGCGGGTATTCATAGCTTTTTCCATCACGGCAGTAATAGCGCACTAAACTCGGGCGGTGGTGCACCTACCGTTGCTACAAACAATGCACAACAACAGCACCACCATCACCATCACTATCATCCGCACTTGCATTTGCATGGTGCTGGGCAATTTCTGCGCGACAATTTCATCAGCGGTTCGGCCAGCTCAGCACTGAACGCCATTATGGGTCATCATGGCAGTGCATCAACACCGGCAAGCGCTGGTATTCATGTAACTGGAAGCGGCAGCGCATCGGGTAACACCAGCGGTAGTGGCAGTCAATCCGCTGGTGTTGTCGGTTCGATATCATTCGGTACACCGTTGAATGCCGTTACCACTACCACATCGGCATCATCGTCGGCTGTGGATGGTGCACAGCAAAGCGCACAGCTGCCATATTCACCCACACCACCATTGCAACGACGTTTGGCGAAGAGCTTTAGCGTAGCACCAGCACTGGGCAACAACAACGTTAATGTAACGCAACAAAAGGGTGCGCTAGTCTTGAGTCTTGCTATTAGACTGCGTGTTTTTATCAGTTTTTAAGCGCACAATTCACTTGCTTGCTATACTCACTACATTGGTTATTGATTTAGTGTCTAATCTTGGCTTAATTTATAATTTCCACATGTCCAATAATAATTTAACTTTTCTCAGCAAAGTGTTTAATTCTAACAATTTACCTATTTGCTAAAGACCCATAATATCCTGCACAAATAAAAAAGTTTCCATACAAGAACTTGAATTTGTTCAGTCAGTTTTTATAGCAGCTATATGTTATAGTGGTGCGATTTAAACAATATTTTCGAAAATTGTACCGTTGCTTTGTACAATACTGTATGCCGAATATAGTGAAGATATCTTATCAAATAAAAAAGTTTTCCATACAAGTATTTGATTGCGATGCTTCAGTTTATATGGCAGCTATATGCTATATTAGTCTGTTTTGAAAAATTTATTCGGATATTGTAGCATTGTCTTGAATATTAATTCATGCCAAATTTCTGGAAGATATCTTATCAAAAAAACAGTTTTCCATACAAGGACTTGATTTTTATCGTTCATTTTGTATGTCAGCTATATGCTATAGTGGTCCATTATCGGCGGTTTCGACAAATGAGCAACTTATTGCAGAGAAAAGAATCGGTGCAAAGTTTCAGCTCGATATCTTAAAAACTGTGGAACTAGTTCGTTCAAGGTATAAAAAAAACTTGAACGTAATTGCTTTTGGCGTTTCGTTTCGTCACTTTTGCTTTAAATAATCGTTCTTCTTGAAATATTAAATAGAGCTTTAACAGTTAAAAGTTATATTTGATAAAGCTTTGCTGTGTTAAGTTGAAGACTTATTGAATTTCTTAAATAATAAATTGCATGATTCGTATGTTCAACCAGTTAGCTAAAGTTAAATGTAATTCTTCATTATTAATAATAAATAAGTTGTTAGAACATCTATTAATTATGTATTCAAAAATTTATTATTTACACATACTACAAAGTTTATACTTCTGTCCAGACTTACCGCATATTTAGTAGTATTTAACACTCCACTTTTTTAAGTTTTATTTGTAGTAGTTTTGTAGGTACATACGATTTGCTTTTTGTTATATGTTTAATTTTTTTTTTAAATATATATATATGTATTTATATATTAGCATACTTTTTGTACTTATTCGAATTAGTTTCTTTAAATTTTTTTGTTGTTGTATTAGTTTTTAATGAGTACTATTTTAACGTGTGAGGTCACCAAGCTGTGCTTCACAGTGTGCTGTAAATAACCGCTCCAGCAGCCGTTGCACCACTAGCCAGTTGTAAATAAATATTTTTGAATTTTTAAAATTTTGAAATTTTGTCTTCGCTAGGCTTAGTTTCATGTACATGATATCGTTAGGTTTACGCCCACCATAATTCTTTTTATCTCCAATAGCACTTTATCATATTTGTTGTAATTGCTTATAATTTACAACTACAAAAGCAATTTAATTTTATGTGTGCGTGTGTCTTTGTTTGTATG